TCACCCAGAAAAAGGACAGTCTTCAGAAGAAAAGTCAGAATTTCAGAGTGATCTGATGAATGGGGAGGTGACGGCGGTGAGAAAGACTGTCACTTTTCACCTTCTACAGAACTTTTAATTTTGGCAGTGGCTATGTCACATTTCCATAATAAAAACTAGTAAAAAAAAAAAAAAAACTAAAAAAGTGTGTGTTTGAAGTTCAGAGAGAGCAGATCTGTAATGAATGTTCCTCAGAAGTTCTCTCTCTGACTCTCCCCCTGGGGTGGGTTTTGAGCGGTTTTTAGAGAGTTCTGGCTGGTTTCATCGGCAGTTAACATCATCTTCATCATCCCTGGGTTTTACCCTTTGCCCTAATACAGAACAAGCAGGGGTGTGTAGATGACAGTAAGTCCTTTGTCGAACCAACACACGAAGGAGCTGCTGGCAGGGCTTCCTCACCCCTCTTCTAACCTGAGTTCCTGGGCACATCTCCCCACCCTACTCCCCACCCATGGGCAGTGAGGGAATGAGGGCTCCCACCCTCCCGGGAAAGGCTGGCCCTGTCCTGGGCTGTATGCAGAGCTCCAGGCGAGGCCTCAGGACAACAGAGTTTCAGGTTCCCCAAAATATACAAAACCTTTGGGAAGTTTGAAACCACAAGGGACAAAAATGGGCTTGCCTCTACCTCACAAAAGAGTTCCGTAACCTGAAGCAAAAATACAGGAGATTTCACTAATGCTCCAGTGATTATTTTTGCTTTTTAAATTTCTGAACATAAAAGCATGCTGTCTACGGCTTGTGTTTCTTTCCTTGACCTTGTTGGCTGGACAGTGAAGCTGTGAGGACCCCAGCTTGTGGTCCTGTGTGGGAGATGGAGGTAGTAGACAGCAGAGCTGTTGTTGGGAGCCTGAGCAGGCATCGACCTGCCTGGATAGAACCCCAGCTGGAGTAAGTGGGAGCAGCTGCCTCAGCTTTTCATTTCTGGGGGAGATGGAGACATCCTCTACCCATTTTAAATCAGAACTTCACAAGGGGTGGGAAAAAACAGCATGACAGGGACTTCCCTGGCAGTCTTGTCGTTAAGGCTCTGTGCTTCCACTGCAAGAGTCACGGGTTAGACCCCTGCTAAGTTCCCAGATACTGCAGGGCCGAAAACAAAACAATGAAACAAGAACAGTACGGCAGCTCATCAAACAATTTAGCTTACACTGGTCCATATGATCCAGCAATTCCACTTCTGTGGATATAATGCAGAAGAGCTGAAAACAGAATTAGAACAGATGTTTGCACACCCCTGTTCATAGCAGCATTAGTCACAATATCCAGAATCGCCATCCAAGGATGATGGTAAACAAAAGTGTTATATATGTGCAGTAGAATATTATACAGCCTTAAAAAGGAAGGAAATTCTTCTTTTTATTTTTTAATTGGCAGAAAATTGCTCTACAGTGTTGTGTTGGTTTCTGCCATACAACAATGCAAATCAGTCATAATTATATTAATACATATATCCCCTCCATTGACTCAGATGGTAAAAAAAATCTGCCTGCAATACAGGAGACCCGGGTCTGACCCTGGGTCGGGAAGATCCCCTGGAGGAGGAAATGGCAACCCACTCCAGTATTCTTGCCTGGAGAATCCCATGGACAGAGGAGACTGGCGGGCTACAGTCCATAGTGTTGCAGAGGCAGACAGGACTGGAGCGATATAGCACACAGCACAGCCCCCCATCCTGAGCCTCCTCCCCTCTTCCCATCCCAGCTCTCTGGGTCATCATAGAGCAGGCTGGGTTCCTATGCTATCCAGCAGTTTTCCCTTGCTATCTATTTGGCACATGAGAGTGTATATAAGTCAATGCTACTTTCTCAATTCGCCCTACCCTCTCCTTCCTCCATTGTATCCACAAGTCCATTCTCTACATCTGCATCTCCATTCCTTCCCTGCAAATAGCTTCATCTGTACCATTTTTCTAGGTTCCATATATATATATATGTTAATATACAATACATGTTTTTTCTTTCTGATTTACTTCCCTCTGTATAATAGGCTCTAGTTTCTTTTTTTTTCTTTTTTTCATTTATTTTTATTAGTTGGAGGCTAATTAGGCTCTAGTTTCATCCACCTCAGTACAACTAACTTAAATTCATTTCTTTTTATGGCTGAGTAATATTCCAAAAAAAGGAAATTCTGACATAGGCTACAACAATGGATGAACCGTGACGACACTGTGCTCAGTGAAATAAGCCAGTCAGCAAAGGACAAATACTGTATGATTCCACTTTTTATGAGGTACTTAGAGTAATCAAATTTAAAGAGACAGGAAATAGAATGATGAGTAACAGGGGCTGCAGTGAGGAGGAATGGGGAAGTGTTATTTAACAGGGTCAGGGTTTTGGTTGGAGAAGATGAAACAGTTCTGGAGGCCAATGGTGGTGATAGCTGTCCAGCAATCTGAATACAATTAATGTCACTGAACTGAATTCTTACAAATGGTTAAGATGGTAAATTTTACATTATATGTATATGTGTGTGCTCTGTCACTCAGTCATGTCTGATTCTGCGACCCCATGAACAGTAGCCTGCCAGGCTCCTCTGTCCATCGAATTTTCCAGGCAAGAATACTGGAGTGAAAAAAAAAAAAGAATACTGGAGTGAGCTGCCATTTCCTACTCCAGGGGAATCTTCCTGACCCAGAGATCAAACCCACATCTCTTGCATCTCCTGCATTGACAGGCGGATTCTTTATCACTGTGCCTGTGTCCACATACTGTATATATATAAATATATGTATTTACCATAATAATTGTTTAAACTTCAAGAAGAGAGGCTACAGGGGAAAGGGCAGTCCTCTGGTAAAATTAAGACCCCGCCCCTCAAAGAGAAAGCAGGTATGACACTGCTTCTGCATCACCATCTTGTCCTGCTCAGCCCACACATTAGGAATTTTAATGATCTGACATCACAGGGAGTTGTACACTAAAATCTTTCTGTGGCATAGTTTCTACAAGTTACTTGGCAGGGGAAGAGTATAGAGACAGATAACAATAATAGACACCTTATTTATCACTTCCAAAAATATTCATAACCAAAAATTCTTGGAAGGAAAAAATATTTATCTTCCCTTATGTTTTCCCTTTTTTCCCAGGCCTTCATCTCTCTAGTTGCTTTTCCACCAAACATTTGTTCTTTGATTTCTGGCAGTTCACTTACCTTGTCTGTTCTGGGTTTCTGGACTACATTTGGAAATAAGTAATAACTTGTATTACTTATAAGTTGTTCTTTCCTTTCCTTGCAGAGATTGTTGTAAGAATTCTGGAGACGGGGAAGAGGGAAATATGTTAAAAATATAAAGGCGTTCTGTTTCTTCTTATTAAGAATTTCCTTTGGGGGACACTGACTCCACGGGAGAAACTTACCCTAAACCATGCCAGACGTGACAGGAGAGAATTCCACAGCAGACCTGTCAGGAGACCTGGTTTGCCTGATTCCTCAAATCCTGCTGCAGCTGCCTCGTCCTGTCTCTCTCTGTGTGCCTGGCATAGCCCACAATTCTGGGTCACCTGGGAGACAGGGAAGTGTGGTGGCCAGTAGAGTTGTACCTCCATGCAATACAAAGGGATGAGCTCCCCATCACCAAGGGAATGCAATTAGAGTGCAACTAATCACATCACAGGGAATTCCTGCTTTGTGAAAGAGACTGAATTCTGAGGTCTCTTTCAATTTTAAGAACCCACTGATTTCTTTATTATTGAATTCAGTTCAGTCACTCAGTTGTGTCCGACTCTTTGTGACACCATGAACTGCAGCATGCCAGGCTTCTCTGTCCATCACCAACTCCCGGAGCCTGCTCAAACTCATGTCCATTGAGTCGGTGATGCCATCCAACCATCTCATCCTCTGTTGTCCCCTTCTCCTCCCACCTTCAATCTTTTCCACATCAGGGTCTTTTTCAATGAGTCAGTTCTTCATATCAGGTGGGCAAAGTATTGGAGTCATTTTGCCTTCAGCTTCAGCGTCAGTCCTTCCAATGAATATTCAGGACTGATTTCCTTTAGGATGGACTGGTTGGATCTCTTTGCTGTCCAAGTGACTCTCAAGACTCTCAAGTGACACTTCAAAAGCATCAGTTCTTTGGCGCTCAGCTTTCTTGATAGTCCAACTCTCATATCCATACATAATTATTGGAAAAACCATAGCTTTGACTAAACAGATCTTTGTTGGCAAAGTAATGTCTCTGCTTTTTAATATGCTGTCTAGGTTGGTCATAACTTTTCTTCCAAGAAGCAAGTGTCTTTTAATTTCATGGCTGCAGTTACCATCTGCAGTGATTTTGGAGCCCCCCATAATAGGAGTCAATTGATCTGTTCTTATATGGGCTCCATCCCCTTCCTTGCTATGTGACTGGACCACAGGCATGTTCCTAACCTGTCTGAGCTCAGCTGTCTCAATTATCTCTTATTATTATGTAATCTGCCTCCCTGATCCTATCCTGAGGAGCCCAGAAAATTCTACAGAGCAAGTGCTTTGAAGATCTTATTTTTTTATTGCCATGCTGGGAAGAATTATACTGCTGTTATTATTACTCCTGCCCTCAGAGGACGACTGCATGCGCCAACCAAATAGCACAGGGCAGCCCTCCCTGCTCAGAAGGACAAGACTGGAGTCTGAGGGACTTGGGGTAGAGGAGCCGTGCTCTGAATCAGCGTTTCTCCCCAAGAAGAGTGATTCCTTCCGTTTCTTTCCTGTTGATCTCTGGTCCTTCTGAGCGGAGGAACTTTCAAAAGCATCTCTGGAACCGTGTGAACACTGACTATTATTTTTTTAATGTCCAGCTAGGGCTTCAGTTCCTAGGAGGGTTTCCTTCCACTTGCACACATACCAAAAAAAAAAAGGGCTTGCTGAATTAATGAACCACTTCTCTTATCTATTTTTCCTGTTATCTAATTCCGAGGGGAAAGCTGGGAGCTCCGAGGGAGCTGGGAGACAGCTCACAACGCGTTCCTCCCACCCGCTGAGAACAGCCTGGAGTCCCCGGGACTGAAGGACGCTGCGAGGAGCTGCAGAAACATCGCTTCCACTTCGGGTGAGTTCCCACCTGGCCCCCCTGGTGACCCCTTCACCAGGGCAGAGCAGGAGATGCACCGAGGGAGCCGGGGAGGGCCAGGAGCAGAGGGGCTGGAGGAGAGAAGGTCGGTGGGGGGAGGAGGTCAGGGAGAGGACCAGCCAGCGTGGAGTGAGGGTGCACATGGGCTCTTGGGCCTTGGGGACAGGAAGGATGAGATTCTTTGCAGGCCAAGTCACAGAGGCAAGGCTTCCTTTCCCACTTTCGCTCTGTGGTTCATTTTCTCGGTTTCTTTTTCTTACAATCGGGTGGCATTTTAGTTTCTCCATTTCCTGATTCGGCTTCCTGCTTGAACAATCAGAAGTTGATGGGGATGAGCTGTCTCTCAAGAAAAAAAAAAAAGTGAATATCCACCATGCAAAAATATCAAGCGATCTGACCGATTGCCCCTGGGCCCCTTGCCTCTGCTTCCTCCAACACATTCAGATGGTTTTTCTTTCCCCTGGAGTTCCTGCTGTGGATGCTGTCTTGAGAACCTAGTTAGAAAGCTTAGGAGAACCCTTCCTGACTCAGATCAGACCTGCCCAGGATGCTTTCGGGGCAGAAAAAAAATCTCACTGGCATTTTTTGTTGGTTCCATTGGTGAGTTAGTGGACAGGCCTCATGGCCTTCAGGATCTGATAATTTTCTTTACCTATTAACAGGTCAAAAGTCAACCAGGCTTGGTGTCCGGTTTAATTTTTCGTTAGTTCTGGAGCCAGACTTGTGATGGGAAGGAGGGGGTGAGGGTGAGTCTTGCAGGTGTACCTCAATGATCATGCTTTTCTTTTCTGAGTTCAGGTTGTATTTGCAAGAGTTTGGTTGCATATGCTTTTTGCAGACGCATCAAAATTACCTCTGCTCCCTATAAACCCATTGCTTGGACACATGAGCTTTGGATCTTATTAGTAACTGAGAAAAGGGCTGAGTCGCAAAGAAAAGGAGATACAGTGGTAAAGACAGAGGGATAGCTTTGAGAGGACACGGGTTGAGAATGGCAAATCCATGCTTAAAAATGAAGGCTCTGCGCAGGGTTTGAAACCAGGCAGGTTGAGCTTTTCCCTCTGGCCCAAAGGTTGGAAATAGATAATGGCAGATTTTAACTCTGTAGCCTTTCGAAGACTAAGCAGCGTTCATCAGGAACTGGGAAGGAGTTAGTGCAAAGTCTCTTGGTGTCTGTACAGTTACTATAAATATTAGCTCTGCAAAGCAGAGAATGGAAACTTTTCCTGTGTTTCCCTCTCGCAGGCTTCCAGCCAGGTGGTTCAAACCTGCCTGACTTCTCTTTCCCCTGCCCAACTCTGGGTCCTTGCACCTTCCCCATTTCTCCCAAAGGCTGTTATTCTCAGGCTTCTGTGTGTTCTCCAAAATTAAGAGAATTTGAGAGGTTTCTAGCTCGGCAAAATCAAAGAAGTGCCCCTCTGAATTGAATGAAAATCCTACTGTGAAAGGCTACTAAAATCCCATGATTTATCATCACAAAATTGATTTGACTTTTTTATTAGTAGTAGTAATGTGTTGATTTTTGTTTGCTTGTTTATTTCTGTTTGTCTTATTTGAATAAATAAGCCTAGCATGAAAGGATATATAAAAGTTCTACTTTATTAACTTTTTAAACATAATTCATTAGAGCTCATTTTTAGCAAAATAGACATAGCCTGTTTCTTCTAAAGAATTCATCCCTGAAAGTGACTTTGCATTTGTGAATTCAATTGGCAGGGAGGCGAGAATCTCAGTTTCCTGTGGTTGGTACTGAGGAAATATTAATAAGTTGCTCTTTATCCCGTTCTATTTCTCAAGCCCAATAAAATATCCATTTCAAATGACTTTCTAATGCTTTGTTATATTTGCCAAGTGATTTATGGGGCGGAAAATTGTAGTTCAGCATGTGTAAGTGCAGAGATGGTTTAGCGCTGGGGACAGTAGAAAGGAGGGGGTTTAGGGTTGGGGCAGCACAGAGCCTGAAGAAATTCAGGCTATCAATCTCCAGCTGTCTAAACACAGCACCAAGTGGAGATTTGAGACAATTATCCGAATAATTGGGGGGTGGGTGGGGAGGAACTTTCTCCTGAACTGTCTGGATAGAGGGGCGGGCGACACAGGAAAAAACTCCCAGCGCGGGGACGGCCCTGCTTCGGCTCTTTCCGGGATCACGCGAATTCTGACGATTTTTCTTTAAATTCTCCGAATTAGAATCAGGGATGGCAAAGAAAGCTTTCCAGAAAAAGCTTAAAAGGGGCTCCCGTCGCGCCACTGGGCAAGGCGGAGGGTGGGCTCACCGCCCGCCGGGCCTGCGCCGCGGGACGCCCCCGCCGGCCCTGATAAAGCCCCGAAGCCGATCTAAGGTCAATAAACCAGGCGGCGTCAGGCTCCGGCGGAGGGTCGGGAAGGACAGGGGCGGGAAGGGAAGACAGCAATCTTGAGGCTGTCAGCGAAATGAAAAGGAACGCTGGACCGAGGAGGTCCGGGTCCGGGCGCCGGCGTGGGGCGCGCGGGGCCGAGACTGGCCGCGGTGCGGGGCGCGCGGCCCACAGGAGGGAGTCGGGCGGCCCGGCTGGGTGGGTCCCCGCGGCGCGGGCCCCTGACCGGCTGTGACGGCGGCGACCTTGAAAAGTAAACCGGATCCCCAGCGATCAATCGTAACTTCGCCGAGTTTGAAGAAGGAAACGAAAAGTTTGGGGGGGAAACATTTTTTTTTTTTTTTAAGAAACGGAGGAGGGGTGAGGTGGAGACTCTCAAATAATGGGAACACTCAATAAAACTTCTGGATGCTTGAAAGAGCCAAGGAATTGTCCCCAAATGAAAGAAACTAGAAGGATGACAGTGTTCATCATTAGTGATCCATTTTAATCCGTTTTGTATGGCGTTTAAAAAGTTTACAAATTCCTTTTACATAGAGTTCTTGTTTCTCCCACTCCTCGCAAGGCGAGAAGCAAGATTGGAACTAGTTATTCTGCCCAAAGTTACAGCACGTCGCCAGGGTTCCCCGCAAAGGGGCTCGAACCGGTTGCTAAGTCACTCCTCGTCATCAGAGAAGGTCTTCCCAGGACAGAGCCCGGATAAGTACGCAACCCTGAGGAAAACCGGTGCAAGGAAGCCTCGGCCAGCGATTGGGGTAGTTAACATCCGCAATCGGGTCCCTCCCGCTGAGCCGTCTAGTGCAAAGCCGGGACGAGAGCAGATGCGCTACGAGCTAGAACCGACGGATTTCCGCAAATAAACACCACCCCCCTTGAGTTCTTTGCACTCTCCCGCGCTTGGCCCACGAGGCTGCGGGGCTCTAACTTATTCGCATTCCTGGCGCGGCCGAAGCTGGTTTGGTTTGAACTTATTTCAACTATTGTGGTGCTATGTAGGCCAGGCCACCTCGGACGGGTGTCGAGTCCGAGGTCTCCAGGGTCGGGTCTCAGGCCCTGGGAAACCCGCGCAACCGAACTTCCTGAGCGCAGCAGGGCTGATGGGCGAGAAAGCCCAGGCCGCAGGCGCGGTCAGTCGTGTGACCTCGGGCCTGAGTCTGGCGCTGATCAGAACGCCGCCCCAGCTGCCCTCTGCAAGGGAAACCCCTTTAGGGGTCTTGGGATGCAGGATTCAGGACGCATTGATGGCGGGGGCGGCGGGGGGGGGGGGGGGGCGGCGGTACGGGTTGGGTGGCGGGCTGGAGGTGTGCTAACTTTGCTTGCCTCCTCCGCTCCTCCCTCTGTGAGCTGAGCGCTAGCGGCCCCAGCCGTTGCCCCCTTGGTCGGAGTAGCAAGGCTGGTAATGCAGCCCCGTCCCTCCCCCCGCCCCCCCGGTGTCTTTCCGGTCGCGACCGCCCTGTGAGGTCCCTAAACAGGCCAAGAATCACAGTAGGAGTTTAATCAGAAAGGTTATTCCCTAGTTAGGCTGCTCTGCATCTCAACATCCCGTGCTCCCGTGCGGACCATCCACACGCCCCTATCCCCAGGGTCGAGGGTCGCAGCGAACCTCAGCAGACTCCGAAAGGCACTGGATCAGTCATTTCTTGGGCCGGGTTTGGAGGATTATGGGATCCGGGAAGGGAACAAATGGCAAACACCCCGGGATCGCAGGCTTAGTGGCCACGGACACCGGGTTCAGGGAGTCTCTCTCAGCCCGGCTCAAAGAGCCGTAATATTTCAGGCACGTTCCCTGCCCACGCGGGGGCTGGAGGTAGATTTTGCGCAGCTTCTGGACTTGGAATTAACAGAGGATAAAGGGTTCCCGGGCCTGGGCATGCGGATTTCTAGGGGGCAGTGTTTTAATCACTTCTCAGCCAGCGCCCCAAACTCGGCCGTTCCCCAGAGAACCTCCTCCTAGTCTTTTGGATAAAACTCCTGTAAGATCCTTCCCGTATGACCCGTCTCTAAACCTGGGGGCAGCGGCTGCAAAGCCCGGGGCGGGGTCCAGGCTCTGGTGCGACGTGGGCGGGGGTCGGCGTGAGGCTGGGGTTGGAATGGCTGCTGCTTTTTCTTTAGCTACTGAGAGGTGTAATGTCTCCCTCATCCATCCCAATTGTCGTTCTTAGGGATTTTCTTTATTCGTTTAATATTGTCTTCTTAACTTAGACGCTCCGCCCTTAAATTTTCCTCTGCGTCTGGCTTGATCTTTCCCCATCTCAGCCCGAGACGCTTACTCCTTATGATAAATTCGTTTTTATTAATTCGGGTGTCCAGGTCGCATCCAGAAATTACCCGATGATGCCCTGTTGGATGAATCAGGAGCCTTCCTGTTCGTCACTTATTTTAATTCCTGAATGTTGAACTACATGGTAGCGGTTTTTCTTGCCTTTAAGGAATTTCTTAAATTCCCACCTCTAAATAGCACCCTACAAAATTATTTTCCAGCTTCTAGGTGGATGTCTAACAAGATTGATTCTCTCAAAATCATGATGCAGTGGCGTTGATATTGTTGTTTTTTAATGTTGTGGAAGCATTTACTACTGAGCCAGTTGATTTGTTCTACCACACGATTTATTATGGCTTTCCACTAACTCCAAAGATTTAGCAGGAAACTGATATGGTATAAATAGATAACTTTCAGTTGTTCATCAGCTAAGATTTTGTTTGCTTTCTGTTATATCAGAGTAGTTCTAGTGTAATAATGATAGAACAATTAGTCTCTCCTTGTAGATAAGTCATTATTTTGAGCATTTATTATATGTTTTCTGCCGAATTTGTTGTTAGAGCCTACTTGAAAATGTAGTTTCCTATAACAGTGCTGATTAATAATAGATCCTTTTCATTTTCAGAAAATGACTGGAAATCACGAAAAGATAGCTCATACCAGGGGAAAATGTACTGAGGTTTATTTCTTCAAGAAATTTTAACAAAGAAACTAAAGAAACAAGATCATTAACAGATAAAACTTGACCACAGGGAATTCAGAGTGGAGGTCAGAAATCAGCTATGCTTCCTCTGCAGTGATTCAAAAACAACAAAAATTAGGAAAAATACTACCCTACTGGACACCCTGTTACTGCAAAAGTATCTCTCTAGTATTAATTGAAGGGTGGGGGAGCGGAGTGCATTGGAAGGGTGTTCAAAGTGTTCCTAGCTTCTGGAAATTTGACAAGCAGAATCTACAAGTCTTAGGACTTCTCCCTAGAATTCAGCAGATAGTAGCTACTGAGCACATCGGATACCTGCTTCCTAAAATGCTATGGGAGTAGCAGCAGGAGTTAGAGTTCAGAGCAAGTTCTGAGAAGAAGTTCTAGGAGGAAATAGGCTGGAAGCCACAGGATTTGTCAGCTCTCCCGGGCCCTGTCGTTTCCCCAGGCTTGGCACTGGGCTGCCTTAGAAAGCTCTCAGCGTGGTGGCCGCTCGAGTTTGCTCCAGCTGCGATAACGAAGGGGCCGGCTATCTAATCTGGACAGCAGCAAGAACAATCCATTAGACCTCGGCATTTATCTGGGGCGGGGGAGGAAGGAGGGACAGGGGCTGGCGTGCCCCACGCCAGGAGGCACTGAGCTGGCCCATTGGAGCCTGGATGGGGTGTGGGTGGGGGGTGGGGGGAACTGGTGAAACCGAGTTTGTGTGGACTCACAATTCACCCTTGCTTGGTGTGCTTCCGATGCTGGTAAATTACAGTTTTACCCATTGTCAGTGTAAGGATGAATTAGGAGCCCTTTGGGTTTGGAGTATTACACATTTTATCTTAAGCAGTTCAGTATACCCTTTACAATATCTCATTCATACTCCACCCCAATTGCAGAGCGCTGTAAGCTTCCAATTTTCACCAGGATTCCCCGGACCTGGGAGACCTAAATCCATCCATCCATTCTTTCATTCAGTCATTCGGCAAACATTTACAAAGCTTCTCTCCACCAGGCATTGTGCCTCGTACTGACAAGTTAAATTATTTGCCCAAGATGAGGGCTATGCTGGCGACAGAGGCGGAACCCTAAATCAACTATTCCAGCCCTGTGACTGCTCACTTCTTTCCCCTAAAACACACAAATCAGAAACAGGGAGTTGCAAGGGCCTCAGGGGTTATCCGGTCCAGCCTACCATTCAATGCAGGAATCCCCTCCTCAAATGGCAGGCAACGAGGCCTGCGTGGGCTTGAATATGGCTCCCAGGACTGAAAAGTCTGTTCTGGGAGAAATCAGCCCCTGCCTACCTTCACCTAAGCTCAGGATGCTGAGCCCCTCCTGCTATCGTGAGCCCCCAGGTGTCCTGCTAACCAGCTGGGCTACCTTCCTTTCAGACTTCCCCTGGGAATGGAATCTGCAAGTACAGGGTACTAAGCCCCAGGTAATGTTTGGGCACTGTGGGCCTTAGTCCAGCTGGTCTGCCTCCCCCTCCCATAGTGGGTATTTGCTGCTGGGTCAGCAGTAGCCAAAGAATCTTCAGAGCTTGGACTTTTGTCTCAACACAACCTACCTACAAGCTGGGTGACCTGGAGCAAGTTATTTCACTTCTGTTTCTGGCATATTCTAGAAATAAGATATGTGAATGTGCTCAGTACTGGAGGATACCACCTTCTTTAAAGATAAAATACCCCTCATTAATAATGAGATTATTGTCATTTGCTGTTTAAAAACTTCAAGGTTACAAAAGGCAACTTCTGGACAATGACCTCATCACAGAGAACATTCTGGAAACTTTAGAACTGATGAAAAACTAGGTGCACACTGTCACTGGGTGAGTGTGAGAATTTAGGCTGTGTTAGAATAATGTGATTGGAATCCCAACTCCACTACTTACTGGCTAAGTCGTGTTCAACTCTTTGCGACCTCGCAGACTGTAACCCACCAGGTTCTTCTGTCCATGGGATTCTCCAGGCAGGAATACTGGAGTAGGTTGCCATTTCCTTCTCCAGGGAATCTCCCCAACTCGGGGATTGAACCCACGTCTCCTGCATTGGCAGTCAGATTCTTTAGAACTGAGCCACCTGGGAAGCCCCCACTGGCTACGTTGTCTTGGGCAAATTACTTACCATTTCTGTGCTTCTGTTTCTTGTATTTTGAAATCTTCACAGACCTTAGAGCGCAGAGAGGACCTCTCCCAGTCCCTAAAATAATCCATAACGTAGTTCATTACCATCAGTGTTCCTCAAGGGTTTGGTTTTGTTTGTTTTGTTTCTTAATCTATAACTTCAAAACACTTCAATAGTTAAATTTGTCTACTAAGGGGTAGACAAAACTGATAACTATGTTTTAAAATTGTCTCACCCCAAATTGAGTGTTGCTGGTGGGAATTTTTGGTGCAGCCTTTCTGGAAGACAACTTAGCAATATGTATCCAAATCACCACAAATACTCATATTTTTTGGACCCACTTTTTCCAGTAGTAGCAATTTACCGCAAGGAAATAATCAGAGGTTTACAAGATGCTTTGCTTGCCAATATTTGTGTGAACTTGACAAAGATCCTTCAAACATATATTTAGTTTAATGAAAAATAGAAAATAATATAAACTCTGAAAAATAAGTTATATAAACTGCAAAATCCATAATGTAGCCATCAAACTATTTTTCTTAAAATATTTAACTCATGGGAAATCTCATAATATACTTTTAAGAAATAAAAAGCAGATTATGAAAAAATAAAAAGCAGATTATAGAATACTTTATACAGTGTGAAACTGGCTGGGTGGGGTGGAGAGGAGAGAGAATCAGATAGATGGAGAACATTAATGTTCTCTGTTTTTCTTTCTAGGTGATGTGGTTAAGGATAGTTTGTGTTTTCCTGCGTTATACTCATTTGTATTTTCCAAATGAACTA